TATATATATGATTGCGTTTACTGTATAACCTAAAACAGGCGTTTAAATGTTACGGGTGTTTGTCGTGTTGAGCTGTTTAAATATTTTCTCTGTGTACATACATGGACAAGTTTTTAAAAAAGGTATTTCATTATTTAATTTACTATAAAATCTGCTAGCAAATACCATGAAAAACCATGTAGCTTCTTTTGATGAAGCTTCTTATTCAATTTCCTTTACCAATACTGTGTTGCAACTCTTTAAACAAGTATAGACTTCTACTAAATTACAACTCCGCAAATTACTTAATCCATCAGTTTAACTAATGTTTGTTTTCAAAGTTTTTACGAAAATCCAGATTACTTTGGGCTACATCAACATCCAATCAGTTCATGGTGTAGTATGAAGATTAAACTGGAAAATTACAGTACCAATAATTTGGTGGTTTACAGCTATTACAGTATTTTGACAGACTTTACAGATACCAGTGGGCATGCCCAATTGGTCATAGCTACTTCCAGTAGTTACGTGAAGCAAAGGTAAAACATCAAATTCATGAATAATTTCCAATAGTTTTTAGTCGAATAAGGAGGCCAAAGACGGTGATAGTTAGGACTACAGTAGTTCCTATGTACTTCACAGTTCGACTTTTGCGGACTCACTATTTCTCAGGTTTTCAACGCACACGACACACGATTGGCTGACTGATGGACGGCGACCAACCAGAGCATTGTGTTCTGTATCCCGAGCACTGACTGGCTCAGTAACCATTGCATAAGTCTGTCTACTCTATTTTAGAGTTTAGAACATTAAGAACATTGCAATGGTGTGGGAAGGATTTATAAAAAGGCTTGTTACGATAACGAATTTTACTGGGTGATTAATTGTCTTGGAAATTATTGCGATCAATGATAATATTGTTTGAAATTTGACAATAATTAGTAATTGTCAAATTTAATAAGAAATGTTGGTTAATTTTTGTGTGTAGTACCTTTTTTGACCACTGGGTGGCAGTATAAGATTGTCTGAACCGAAGGATGGATAGAGAGGGAGCGAGCAGCGTGTCGTTTTAATAAAAATGGGAGGGAGGCCCCTTGATGGGCTGTCTCTCCTTTTTTCGGCTCTCAAACTGGCGGACACTGGTGTGGTTTGAGCTCTTTATCATAGCATTTGTCATACAAAGCTTTTAATTAAAAAAAATCAGTAAACAAGTTCTCAGCTTCTTTTTGCAGAGGAAAAACAACTTTTTACACAAAGGCACGAGTTTCAACCGTGAATTTTGGAGCTTCGACAAGACGGAGATTTTTTTTTTCCCCAAGGTCGGCCTGTTAGCTTAGCTCGTAGCTTAGCTTCTCAGTTTAGCTGCTTTTAACGATCCAAAAACACAATTTTGGACGGTTAAAACAGATTTCAAAGAGAAAGGGAAGAGTCGGTGAAGAGAGAGACACGAAGAAACGATAAAGCCGATAAATGAAAATGAGGTCGATAATTTTCATTTATAATGCATTAATTGATTTATCGTTTATCACGACAGGCCTATTTATAAAGCCTTAAAATATATAGAAATACTAAAATAAAATATAACATCCCTACTTTGTGGATTTTCACCTATCTGTCTGGAACGTAACCCCCGTGATAAATGAGAGACTACTGTATACACAAACAACAAATAAAACTTGATATCAAAGAACCGGGGGAAAAAAAATACAAATTAAAAGAGTCCCAGCTGATTTCTCTCCTCCTGCAACAGCCCCTTTGTTTCGTCTCACCAACAAATCCTTGCATAAGGTCTAAACTGTAGCCAGCACCTACACGGAGGTAAAAGGTTTTGTTTATTTTTACGGCAGCTGGTGCTTGGGGAAACCTCTCAGTCTCCTGTAACACGATGACTTCAAACATAAACCTGACCACCGTCTGAAATCATCCTCTTCTTCCACGCACTTCTCGTAAACACGCTCATTACTGCTGGTCTGATGCCTCGGCGTGTAATTTTCTGCATTTGTGAGCAACAAGCTGCGGGTAAAATAATCAGCTTAGGTCTGAAAAGATGTAAATATAGCACTGAGGGTGTGGTTTGAAACACGAGGTCCGAGCAACATGTTTGAAGATATCTCAAGGACGGAACAGTCCCCCCACCCCAGACACAATGCAGAGAACAAACGGCCCCGTCTGAAATCACTCCGTGGATGTGGAATTTGATACTTGGGGAAAAAAAACAGCTTTCACAACATGAGGAATTTCTCAGGCTTGCAAGTTGGGACGCGATTCAGTCTGGAAAAAAACTGCAACCATCAACGTTCCACAAACACCCGGCCTCACCCAAAGCTGTAATAACGGCATAAAGTCAAGCCTGAGACGGTAAACACACCAAAACATTTATCCAAATGTTATACGACCAGTACCGGCAAAAAGGAGGGAATTTCTTTACAATTTTGAATCATTGTGTTTTAATTCAAGTCAAAAGCTTTAAAACGATCTGTAGTTTGTTTAAATTTCACTAATCACCTCCTGGTAACAAGCTAGTTCCCTTTACCAGAGTGCTGGTTTAAAAAAAAAAAGTACTTTTTGTTGGTATATAGTAATGTCACCGGTAATTTCTGCTCTACATTTCAACAAAGACAATGACTGAACATTATACGAGGGGATTTCCCAGAACTACATTTGCCACCAGAGAATTGTGGTTAATTTTAAAGGAAAATAAAACGGATTAGAATTAAAAGAATTAGTTCTGAAAAGCATACCAGTTAGAAAACATCCATTTAAAAAAAAAAAAACGGGTAGATTAGGAATATTTCACGCTATTTTAGTTACCGGGATCGCTAGATTGTGTCTATAAGGAACAATTTTTACGTAAATCTCAATCGCGGTTAGACGTGTTTTTGTCTGAATAAAATTATTTGTGTTCAGTTTGATTACTGAAAGCATTTGCATCCATTTAAAATTCTAATCTGAACAAACGCCTCTGAATTTCAACAAGCTACATCTTCACCTGATCAACTTCCTAAATAAACTAAAACATGTAAACAATCTTTTACATTTAGCCGACATTGCCTCAGGCTAATAACAAACATTTTATCATTAGTTTATAACACTTGGTTTGTTTTGACCAGTTTAGGCACTTTAAGGTAAAGTCACACTCTTTAAACTGACCAAGCTATTAAAAGTATTCTTAGCCAACTGAACTAGTGGTAACTTTTAGGTAATTTCATTTAGCTAAGTTTTCAAATAGTTATTTCATTATTTTGAATTCTTACAAGGTTCATTAGCTTCAGTCATTCTAAAGCTTTGTTAGCTACTAAAGCAGGCCGTTAGGCAATGGTTCTCAACACTGGTCCTTGAGGAACACCATTCTGCATGATTTAGTCGTTTCCTTGTTTCAACACACCTGATTCAGTGATTTAAGTACTTCAAGTTCTGCAGAAGCCTGTTAATAGCTCATTCATTCAAATCAGGTGTGTCAAAGCAGGGAAACAACTAAAACATGCAGGATGGTGTCCCGCAAGTACTTGTGTTGGGAACCACCGCATTAGTGAACCAGGCATTAACTTAGCCGTTAGCTTTGTTTTGTGCCAACTAATATTCAAACGATAAATTAAAAGATTTTACCAAGTAAATAATTACAAAAGATGTTGAAGTTGAGCTTTTATCGGTGACGGCGTTTATTTGCTGCGTGCAAACAAGTCTTGTGCAAACGAACGAAAAGCGTCGAGGGAAGTTTGATGTTGCGTGTCCGAGTTTCTCATTTTACACGACGTATTTTTGCATTTGTGTCAAGACGTCAGAAGGAAAGCCTCAAATTGAATGAAGTTGTTGTTTTTTTTTTTAACAGAGTTTGAAAGTCAAACTAGAAGGTTCTTACGCTCCTGGCAGTAATTTGCGAGTCAAATGTTTTAAAATTAGATTGTAGCTAAACTAAACTCAGCTAATCTTGAGTCATGTCTGCTGCAAATCACCATGGTTTTCTGAAATGTTGTAAGATTGCTGTTTTTTTTTTGTGTCGTTTTTTGATAGAAGTCAAAATTAATGTGTCTCCTAAAATAAATCTAATTTCGTCAATTTAGCCAACAAGATGGTGTTGGATATAAATTCACTTCTAGACAAAAACTAATTAAATCTAAATTTGATACATTTAACTTCTGACACACTATTTAGTTTAAATCTTACTGAACCAGTTATGCTCTTCAATCCATTTTTTATTTTCTTTTAATGTAAATGCTAACTGCACAACTATCTGCAAAAAACTCCTGAATTGTTTTTCTTGTCCAACTTTTTTCAGCTGTTCTGTTTTAGTCGCCTCCATGTAAAGAATGCATTCAGTTAATCTGATAAATGATGCTGAAAATAGAAATAAAACGCCCCAAGATGGAAGATGGTCACAAGCAGCTGGTTCAAACATCATCTCTTTTCAATATTCTTTTTTTTTTTTACTTGTACATTTTTTCTCTCAAATGTAAAACAGCCAGATTTGCTCTACTGGATAAGCTGCTAGTGATCAATGTCATGCTCTATTTTATTGTAACATTTGAGCAAACAAGTTACAAAACTTTATATCTATAGCAGATACGACTCTTTCTGACTCTAAAATGATAAAAAGATGAAGTCTGGACCTTCAAAACAAAAGCTGAAAAACCACTAGGCTGTTTTGCATGTAGTTCTTGAAAGTTTTATTGTTATTTTATTCAACAGAAAGCCTTCATTATTCTTGCTAAGGCATTTTTATTTTTTATTTTGGTTGAGTGTTAAATGTTTTAATAGGACCCAAGTTTTAATTTGAGGTTCCTGCTTCTTAACTGAACACACCCAGTTTACAGTTCTCCAACTCAGCATGACAACAAACCCTAAAACATTTAAAAAGTTACCACTTTAATAAAAAATAAAATAAAATCTGTTCATAGTTTAAAAAAAATACCCCATCAATTTTTATACATGCCCATTTTGAATACTTTAGAAATCTTTTTTTTTATATATATATATATATAAAATATTTTTCTAAATAAATAGATGAAAATTAAATTTCTTACCAACTGCAAAGCAGAAAGCGACTGCAAGCAAAAACACAAGTGTCTTCATCTTGGAGGTCAAAAAGCGACACCAGAGAGCTCTGAGAAGAGTTTCAGACCGTTACAATCTCTGCCCAGACTGTTTCCGGACATGGAGCCATTTATCCTCCTCCACCTCCCATCCTCACGTCACCGTCAGCCAATCAGCTCATCCGGACCCGAACCGTTTGAGAGTCCAACACGGGTGGAGGCTGATGGTTTCATCTTACCGAGACCAGGTGAAAATCTGGGTAAAGATTCGGACGTGTATGGAAGCACATTAGTGCCAAATGTAAATGGTTGTAGATGTTTTATTTTCACAATTCTTACTTTTTTTTTTTTTATTACAGTGAAAGATTACTGTCAGAGTGTTATCTTAAAAGTTTTTAAAAAATCAGATTTGTATTTTGGGATTAAAATTTAGAATTCTGCCTTAATTTGCTGAATTCTGAATTTAATTCTAAATTCCTTTTTTTTAATTTATTTTCAGGAGTCTAAGATTAAAGTCAGAATACACCCCCCCCCCCCCCCAAAAAAAAAAAAATCTGCCCTCAATCTCAGAATCCTAAAAAAAAAAAAAGAGAGAGATTTGGATTCTAAATTCAAGATTAAAGTCATAATTCTGAGATAAAATCAAAACATAACTCCTGTCAAAATGCGCAGTTTTACTTTGTTTTGATTTTAGTTTTAATTCTTCTAACAACATTTTACATAATTACCAGTAAATAATTGAGGGTTCATGTAACTCAAAGGGCTTTTCATTAAAATCCCGTTAGAAAACAGCAAATCCTTGTTTTTGTTTACAACTGAATGTAACAATCAGTTTTCTCCACTAACATCTACGTCTGTTGACTCGTCCTCAGCTTTTAGTGGTCGTTTCTTCTCAGAGGACAGAACTTCACCTTTTTGCTTTTGACCTGGTGTCTCTGATTCTGTTGTTCTCTAACTTTGTTACATCAGGGAATTTCTTTACTGACTCAGTACCACACATGAGATTATCCGTAGAGCTCATCAGTGTTTGAATATAAACAAATGACTTGTTTTCTGGCAACTAAATATAACTGTTGATTTTGTTCTTTGATTACAGTTTGACCTTTGGTAGTCAAATATCCGTAGTGGGTATTTTTATCATAAATGATGCACATATAAAAAAAATAAAAACATTGAAAACTTGTGTATTTTCACATCCATTAAGGATTTAAGTGAGAATAATGAGTACATTGGGGCTACTTAACTTCAGGTATAAGAATAATTCTCGCCTACCTCAGAAAAGAGATGTATATGTATGTTTTTGCCCTTGTCCGTTACTAAAACATCTCGCGAACCTCTGGATACATTTACACAACAGTCACAAAAAGTTTACTTGACATCCATCTACAACTTCAAATTCAAGATGGCAACCACAGATGTTAGAAACATTGACATGGCTATACTTCTTCTGTCTGGTCCCAGTTTCTAAAAATAGCTGCTCCGTATTGTGTGACAACAGCGAGTACCCAGATCTCAGACAAGTGAAACTTTGAGTACAGTACAATTTGCGCTGTAGTTGTGATTTGCACCCCAGAAAAAGAACAGTAAAAAAATTAGTGTCCAACAAACGTTGCTAAGGAGCTTAAAATAGTGACAGCTGTCAAGCCTCATATTCCCTTTTTCCCCAATAAGAAAAATTAATCTGATCGATTAGTCAGATGTTGCCATTGCGACGTGTAAATAAAAACTCTGCCGTCGTCATTAAAAGATTTTTATGCGCTCACTTTGTAGGTGAATAATGTTGAGACTGTATCGTTCAATACATTCCAAGTCAGTTTTGGCCCCGGGGACGTCGTCTTCGTTGAGGTTGACATGGACAAAAGCTGTGGAGGTGGCCATTGCTCATGTTGTCTGGCGCATCGTTTGTCTGACACCCGGGACTTTTGGGGTTTCTAGCAATACTTGTCATCTTGGATCAGCGCCATATAACAGATACTGACCAAAGGTTTGGTTCAGTAGTAACTGAGACTGATCTCCAACACATATTTTAAACACTGACAGAAATGTCCAGTGGGGGGCATGGTTTTGCTAAACTGCTAATACCGGAACTAACGTTCCGTTCAGCGGATTAGCGTTTTTGCTAACTTTGAAAACCTTTAACGGAAATAGCTTCCACTAAATTTGAATCTGGTAAATTCAAGTCTGCTAATATTTTTTTAAAACCTCACTAAAAGCATAGAGCAGCGTGGTGATTTACACACAGCCATGCCATGTTATGTTACACTGAGCTAAGCTAAGCTAAACGCCACCCGGTGATGTCACCACACTCAGTACTTTTTCCCCTCATATCTACCACAAACAGTCTCTGACTCATGGTGTCAGTTTACAGCCAATAACAGAGACTTTAACTTAAATGCCAAACCAGAACTGAAAAATAACATACATCCATCCATTATCTTTTACCCGCTTCTTCCTTTTTTAGTCACGGTGGTCACAGGTGCCCATGTCCCGCTATCACTGTGTGAGAGGAGTGGTAAACCCTGGACAGGTTGCAAGTCCGTCAGGGCAGAAAAATAAAATGAAAAACTTATTTTTACACTCAGAAACAGTCAGAAACATTGCACACATAATTCCTACCCAGCATGCTTTGCGAAACTCACACTGTCTCTGGGACGTGACTCTCTCACACATTTCACACATCTTTAATGCAAACAGATTTATTCCGGAGAGAATATTGACGATGACGCGCAGAAACTTAGTAGTTTGTTTATAAAAGCAGTTAACCACAAAGAGGATTGTCAAGATGAATTAATTCATTAAAGTAAATGACACGAGGAAGATGTCCGACACACATCGAACGCATCACTGTGCTTCAGCACAGCAGAGTTTTGATCCACCTCTTTGGTTCCAATGGACCAACTCCATTTCTGAAAGCTCACCTCTGAAGGGGACGTGGACACTTTACTTGTGATTTATGAACTGTTTTCAGTTGTCCTGTTACAAACAGTCTTACAGTGTCAGCGACAGCAGTGTATGATAAAAGTTAGCGCTTTAGTGTTAGCTTCCAATAATTTTTTTATCGGTTTAGCATTAGCAAAGCAAATTTTTTAGTTAGCGAATTAGCAGTTAGCAAAGCTAACTTTTGGGTTAGCTGTGCCCACCACTGTATATTTATTTTGTTTTAACTGTTCATATTAACTTTTTGGAGTCAACTCTGATAGCTAAATATCTCATGAACCACTGGACGCATTTTAATGTAACTTAGGAAGTTATCGTTGGATGTATGTCAATAACTTAATCAATCCACTTCAAAATGGCCCCCGTCATCAACATTAGCCAACACAAAAAAATGGTTATAACTCAATTGGTTTTACGGATATTGAGCTAAACTTTGATGTGGTAGTAGCTGAGAGTCATCCCAGCACATCCTTTGAGTGCTAACAGATCAGACAAAATTTTGATTCAAACTTTGGCATGCAAGACGGCAGGTGATATGCATCAGTTTTTACTGCTGTCATTTTCAGCTTTGAGACTAAGCCATTAAAGTATAATAAATTAAGAATATTTATACCAGTTTGATCTTTAAAATCCATTAAATATCTTTTATTTAAAACAGTTCTTCAGAGGACAGACGTGACAACCTAAGTTTAAGCTTCTCGAGGATTAAAAATGTTCGCAGGACCGTTTTGTAGAGTCACACTAAACTGCAGAAATATCCGCTCAGTAAGTTTGTAAACTGTTTGTGGTTAAAAGGTCAAAAAAGAGAACAGGAACTTAGATGAGGTTACATACAGCGACACTGAAAATGAACATTTACTTTGTGTGAAGTTAGAAAACAATGAACTGCGTCTAAATAAAGTTGTGATGCAGTTCTGCTCAGACAAAGTCAGTCATTAGTTTCTGCAACAAAACATCACGTCCCTATAAATAAATTTAAATTCCAACACAGGTACAGGAATGCAGAGTTTTCCTTTCTCCAAACATAAAACTTTTCATTTAAACCAAAAAGTTCTGTTTTGGTCTCATCCGTCCACAAAACATTCTTCCAACAGCCTTCTGTCTTGTCCACGTGTCTTTCACAAACTGCAGACGAGCAGCCATGCTCTTTCTGGAGAGCAGTGGCTTCCTCCTTCAACCCTGCCATGAACCATTGTTGCTCAGTGTTCTGATGGTGGACTCATGAACATCAACATCAGTCGATGTGAGAGAGGCCTTCAGTTGTTAGAAGTTACCCTGGAGTCCTTTGTGACCTTGCAGACTATTCCTGCATCTTGCCCTCGGAGTGATCTTTGTTGGTCCACCACTCCTGGGGAGGGTAACAATGGTCTTGAATTTCCTCCATCCGTACACAATCTGTCTGACTGTGGATTGATGGAGTCCAGCTTTGAAAATGTATAAAAGCTGATATAATAATAATAATAATAATAATAATAATAATGAATTTAATTTGTAACGCACTTTTCATTAACAAAAATCTCAAAGTGCAACTAAAATCAATGATAAAATTAACTAAAATCAGTGATAAAATCAATTATAAAATCAACTAAAATCAATGATAAAATCAACTAAAATCAGTGATAAAATCAATGATAAAATCAACTAAAATCAGTGATAAAATCAATGATAAAATCCAATAAAATCAATGATAAAATCAACTAAAATCAGTGATAAACTCAATGATAAAATCCAATAAAATCAATGATAAAATCAATGATAAAAATCAACTAAAATCAGTGATAAAATCAGTGATTAAAATCGGTGATAAAATCAACTAAAATCAGTGATAAAATCAGGTGGAGGCAGAATAGAACATCAACATCAACTACTTAAAAAGAAAAGTGTAAGCCTTTTTTAAAGTCAATCAATGATTGCGGAGCTCTCAGATATTCAGGGAGGGAGTTCCGGGGGGGGGGGGGGGGG